TTTTACAGAATCAGAGAAACTTCGCGGAGCATGGATTTTAGCTGGGCTTTATGCAGCAATAATGGTTGAATCAGCTACAGCTGGTGTTTTGTTTCATGCTACTCTTGCCGAAATGATCGACCATAGTCGTATGTCCGTACAACAACGGTAAGATTTTTAGATATTTGTCAGCTAGAACACCTCTACTCATACTCTATGTATTCAGGGATTCCATAGCCATTATAATTCTCACTATCGTTGTTGTATCTTTGATCGGTAAGTCCTAAGTCTTTTCAGAATCACAGCTTCACCGCAAATAAAAATTTCTAGGGTACCTCCTTACCATACCATTCCTCTGCTATGCGGTACAGAAGCACTCAGCAACAGCTCTGGTACCGTACCTTGTCTGGAGAATGCTCTTTTCAATTATTATTCTTACAGTAGTCATCTGGCAGGTAGAGTCGGATCTGGAGCAGCGTACTAGTTAATCTCTTATAAATATTGTCTAGGCATCTGCATTACCTAAGCGGTCGTTGTTGTTCCGATCAGCCTTCTTTGACCGACAGCTTCCAGTGGCTGTAGCGGAGGTAGGTAAAAGTATTTTGATCGAGACTGTCGAAATGAAAGTCAGGCAAATTTACTGCTAGAGAACAATACAGACCCCACAAGAGTAAGATAAAGTACCTTACTGAAAAGACCATTACAAAAGAAAGTGCTAGCTAACGTTTCAACCACTCAAAGGACCTTTGCCATTTATTATATGACTCAGCATAGCAGATCATACTATAGCTATATCCTTACTGTCTGTTAACACTGTGTAATCTTATGGAAATGTATACCTTAAAACATTTTGCCAATATAACAAGCAGACCTCGAAAAAAGAACAGTGTGATGAGGTAAGATATCAGGAGGAGAGCTGCAATCCGATATTTCCATAATTTTCATAAACATATCTAGTGCACTTACGGGTCCTCCTTACGAAATGAGTAGAATGCTCTTCCCAAGAAAAGTCCCCAAAAGTTAGGATAGCTTCAGCTTAGAATCTTGACGTCAGAATATGTTCAGCTTCTCAATCGGGTTAAGTTTGGATTCCCTTTGCAGCTTTGATAAAAGACTTTGCAATTAAGAGACATGATAGGGTTAGTGATTAAGCCCGGCTTTTATCTAGCTCAAGTTGACACATAAGTTTTGCACCGAAAATAAAGGAATGTTCCATATATGCAGACTAACTTTCCGCATTACGAGATAGTTTTCACTTTCGAGGAATTAATAAAAAAA